TTTGGCTCCTGAAATGCAATTTAAAGATATAATGCAATCTAAAGCATTGTGTATATTGGGGGCTGGCATTGTGGTGTAGTGGGACTGTGACAGTGGCATCACACGTGAGCACCAGTGAGTTCCAGTTGCTCCACTTCTAATACAGCTTCTTGCTAATATGCATGGGAAAGCAGTGAAGGATGGCCCAACTGCTTGGGCCCCTGCCACCTTGTTGTGAGGCCCAGATGAAGTTCCAGGCTCCTCACCCTGGCCACTGCAGCCATTTAGGGAGTAAACCCACAGATGGAAGATTTATCTGTCTCTGTCTACAAATTTCCCCCTCTCTGTTATTCTGCCTTTTTTTTTTCTTTTTTTGACAGGCAGAGTTAGAGAGAGAGAGAGAGAGAGAGAGAGAGAGAGAGAAAGAGAGAAAGGTCTTCCTTCTGTTGGTTCACCCCCCCCCCCCAAATAGCCACTACACAGAAATCTCAACAAGAGCAACCACTTAATAGCTAGGGATGTATTATGCATCTTGCATTCTACATAATTACCTTTGTCAAACTTTACACCACACTATTTGGTAGGTATAATATAGCAAATATTTTACAAATCAAAATTAGACACAGAAATATCATAAATCAGAAGTTACATAGCTATCTGAGTCTAAGGCCAACACATTCCACTGCCAGATTAAGACAGTCAACAGACTGATTGCTTGTCAAATTGAACCATGCAAGAAACTCCAAAGACTCCAAAGGCATTTCTTTTTTTTTTTTTTTTTTTTTTGACAGACAGTGAGAGAGAGTCAGAGAGAGAGAGAGAGAGAGAGAAAGGTCTTCCTTCCATTGGTTCACCCCCCAAATGGCCGCTACAGCTGGCGCTGCACCGATACGGAACCAGGTGCTTCTTCCTGGTCTCCCACGTGGGTGCAGGCACCCAAGGACTTGGGCCATCCTCCTCTGCCCTCCCAGGCCACAGCAGTGAGCTGGACTGGAAGAGGAGCAACCAGGACTAGAACCCAGCGCCCATATGGGATGCCGGCGCTGCAGGCGGAGGATTAGCCAAGTGAGCCACAGCGCCGGCCCCAAAGGCATTTTTTTTTTTAACCCCTACACATGATAGACCACGTGAGCATCTCAGAAGAGACTGAAATCAGAATACCACTAACAACATTCACAAAGCAAAAAGTACACCTGAAATCATGCAGATAACAGGAAATCTGTCAAGGGAAATCTGTCCAAATTATTTGGGCTTGCAAATACTTCTCAAAGACTCAATAGTAATCAGTTCTCTTTGGTTTACATTTTTTTTTTTTAAGATTTGTTTATTTATTTGAAAGGCAGAATCACACAGAGGCAGAGAGAGAGAGAGAGAGAGAGAGGTCTCCCATCCCCTGGTTCACTCCCCAGATGGCCACAACAGCCAGAGCTAGGCCAACAGAAGCCAGGAGCCTGGAGCTTCCACCAGGTCTTCCATGTGGGTGCAGGGGCCCAAGGATTTCCATTGCTTTCCGAGGCCATAGCAGAGAGCCAAATAAGAAGAGGAACAGCCAAGACTCCAGCTGGTACCCACATGGGAAGCCAGCACTGCAGGCAGCGGCTTTACCCACTACACCATAGCGCCAGCCCCTACATTCTTCTGAGGTTACCAAGATTTTGAAGAAAAATTCTAGTTCTCACTCTACTGTTGTAATTCAAAGAAAAGTGGATTTAAAATAAATAGGCACTGAGTGTAATGAGCTAAGCTGCCACCTGCAACACTGGCATCCCATCTGGGAGCAATGGTACCAGCCTCAGCCTCTCTGCTTCCAATCCAGCTCCCTGCTAAGGCACAAGGGAAAGTAGCAGAATATGGCCCAAGTACCTGGGCCCCTGCCACCAATGTGGGAGACCAAGATGGAGTTCTGGGCTCCTAGTTTCCACCTGGCCCAGCCTTGGCTGTTGTAGCCAATGGATGAGTGAATCTAAGACACAGCTAAGACCTCACATACATGAAATACAAAGACACCAACTATAACTACTTACTAGGTTTTTTTATTTTTTTAGAATTTTTTCTTAAGTTTTTTTTTTTTTTTCATTTATTTGAGAGGTAGAGTTACGGACAGAGAGAAGGAGAGGTAGAGAGAAAAGTCTTCCATCCACTGGTTCACTCCCCAAATGGCCACAATGGCCAGAGCTGCCCTGATCCCAAGCCAGAAGCCAGGAGCCTCTTCCAGGTCTCCCACGCAGGTACAGGGGCCCAAGGACTTGGACCATCTTCTGCTTACCTAGGCCAGAGCAGAGAGCTAGATTGGAAGTGGAGCAGCCACGACTTGAACCGCCACCTACATGGGATGCTGGTGCCACAGGTGGATGCTTAGCCCATTACACCACAGCGCCGGCCCCTACGTACTAGTTTTAATTAACAGAAGATGACCTTTGGAGCCAGTGCTGCAGTGTAGCAGAAGGTTAAGCTGTGTCCTCTGACACAAGCATCCCATATGGACACTGGTTCGAGTTCCAGCAGCTCCACTTCTGATCCAGCTCCCTGCTAATGCACCTAGGAAAGCGTTGGAACATGGTCCAAGTACCTGAGCTCCTGCACCCACATGGGAGACCTGGATGGAGCTCCTGACTCATGGCTAGGGACAACCCGGTCTTGACCATTGCAGACATTTGTAGAGCGAACCAACAGATGGAAGATTTCTCTCTCTCTCCTTCTAACTCTTTAAAATAAATACATATTTTAAAAAGATGCTTTCTTTAAATGAAGATAATTGGAAACTAGTTATAATACATTTTTGAAAAAAAAAGGGGGGGAGGGATGGCGCTGTGGTACAGTGGGTTAAAGCCCTGGCCTGCAGTGCCAGCATCCCACATGGGCACCGATTTGAGTTCCAGCTCTCTGCTATGGCCTGGGAAAGCAACAGAAGATGGCCTAAGTGCTTGGGCCCCTACACCCATGTGGGAGACCCGGAAGAAGCTCCTGGATTCAGATCAGTACAGCTCGTGCCGTTGCGGCCATTTGGGGAGTGAACCAGCAGATGGCTGGTTCCAATTCTATCTGTAACTCCATCTTTCAGATAAATAAAATCAATCTTAAATAAATTCAATCTTGGCTGGTGCTGCGGCTCAATAGGCTAATCCTCCGCCTGCGGCGCCAGCACACCAGGTTCTAGTCCCAGTCGGGGTGCTGGATTCTGTCCCGGTTGCCCCTCTTCTAGTCCAGCTCTCTGCTGTGGCCTGGGAGTGCAGTGGAGGATGGCCCAAGTGCTTGAGCCCTGCACGTGCATGGGAGACCAGGAAAGGCACCTGGCTCCTGGCTTCAGATTAGCGCAGTGCACCAGCCGAAGCAGCCATTGGAGGGTGAACCAACAGTAAAGGAAGACCCTTCTCCCTGGTTTTTTTTCTTTTCATTGCCCACCTCTGCTTGGGGAAAAAAATAATAAAATAATTAAATTAATAAATTTCTTCCTTATTAAAAATCAAAGTTAAAACAAACGAAAAAAACAGATGACTCTGAAAAACATCTATGGAGAACAGGACAATACTTATGTTAAAAAAAAAAAAAAAAGGCCGGCGCCGCAGCTCACTAGGCTAATCCTCCGCCTTGCGGCGCCGGCACACCGGGTTCTAGTCCCGGTCGGGGCGCCGGATTCTGTCCCGGTTGCCCCTCTTCCAGGCCAGCTCTCTGCTGTGGCCCGGGAGTGCAGTGGAGGATGGCCCAAGTGCTTGGGCCCTGCACCCCATGGGAGACCAGGAGAAGTACCTGGCTCCTGCCATCGGATCAGCACGGTGCGCAGGCCGCAGCGCACCAGCCGCGGCGACCATTGGAGGGTGAACCAACAGCAAAGGAAGACCTTTCTCTCTGTCTCTCTCTCTCACTGTCCACTCTGCCTGTCAAAAAAAAAAAAAAAAGACCAGTAAATTTGAAAAAGAACCAACATGAACTTCAACAATAAGCAAAACTAAAAATTCACTGGATGTCTTTAACAGATATATTCAACTGAAGAGAAGAAAATTAAATTTACTTGAGGCCACATAGCAGCACAGAGGATAAAGCTATCACCTGCAACACTGGCATCCTATTCATGTCCCAGCTACTCCACTTCTGATCCAGCTCCCTACTAATGTGCCTGGGAAAGCAGTGGAAGATGGCCCAAGTCCTTGGGCCCCGGAACCCATGTGGGAGACCCAGAAGAAGCTCCTGGCTCCTGGATTCAGTGTGGCCCAGCCCTAACCATTGCAGCCATTTGGGGAGTCAACCAGCAAAAGAAGTTATCTCTGTGTGTGTGTCTCTCATACTGTGCCTTTCAAATAAGTAAAATAAATCTTTAAAAAAAAAAAAAAGAAAAGAAAAGAAAACTAATGTACTGGAAGTTAAACCAGAATAAATTATTCAGAATAAGGTACAGACAGAAAATATAGAGCAAAAGGGGCCTGAGTTGTAATACAGCAGGTTAAGCCACTGCCCACAACTCCTGACATCCATTTGAGCACAGTTCAAGCCACAGCCAATCTACCTCCAAGCCAGCTTCCTGCTAATGTGCCTGGGAAAGCAGCAGAAGAGGGTCCAAGTACATGAGCCCCTGACATCCATGTGGGAGACCTGTATAAAGCTACTGGTTCCTGGTTTTAACCTGGTCCATCCTGGTCCACCACAGCCATTTGGGGAGTGAACAAGCAGGTGAAAGATCTCTCTGTCTCTCCCTTTCTATAACGCTGCCTCTCAAACAAATAAATATTTTTTTAAAGATTTATTTTTTTTTTTTTGAAAAGCAGAGTTACAGAGTGGCAGAGGCAGAGAGAGGTCTTCTATCCATTGGTTCACTCCCCAAATGGCCATAACAGCTGGAACTGGGCCAATCTAAAGCCAGGAGCTTCTAAGTCTCCCATGTGTGTGCAGGGACCCAAGGACTTGGGCCATCTTCTACTGCATTCTCAGGACAGAGCAGAGATCTGCATCGGAAGTGGAACAGCCAGCACTGCAGGTGGCGGCTTTACCTGCTGCTCCACAGCGCTGGCCCCTCAAATAAATAAATCTTAAAGGGGTGGGGGGCAGCACTGTGGGGCAGTGGGTTAAATCCCCAGCCTGCAGCACCAGCATCCCATATGGGCAACAGTTCAAGTCCCAGCTGCTCCACTTCCAATCCAGCTCTCTACTAATGAGTCTGGAAAGCAGAAGATGGTCCAAGTCCTTGGGCCCCTGAACCCATGTGGAAGACCCAGAAGAAGCTCCTGGCTCCTGGCTCCTGGCTTCAGCCTCGCCCAGCTCTGGTTGTTTGGGCCATTTGGTGAGTGAATCAGCAGACAGAAGACCTCTCTCTCACTCTCTCTACCTCTGTCTGTTAACTCTACCTTTCAAACAAATAAATCTTAAAAAAATAAAAAAAGAAAGAAAGAAAAGAAAATGTAGAGCAAAAAATGAAAAAGGGCCTAAGATACGTGTAACAGAGACCCCAAAAATGTAACAGAAAATAAATTTAAAGAGGTAATAACTGAGAATTTTGCAGAACAAACGAGATGCCAATCCACAGATTCAAGGAACCTAACAAAGTTCTAAACAAAACAAACCTATACTGACACATCATAGTGAAACGACAAAATACTAAAGACAGAGAAGATTTTAAGTATGAATCCTTTTTTTTTCCTTTTTTTTTTTTTTTTTTTTTGACAGGCAGAGTGGACAGTGAGAGGGAGAGACAGAGAGAAAGGTCTTCCTTTTGCCGTTGGTTCACTCTCCAATGGCCACCGCAGGCAGCGTGCTGCAGCCGGCGCACCGCGCTGATCCGATGGCAGGAGCCAGGTGCTTCTCCTGGTCTCCCAAGCACTTGGGCCATCCTCCACTGCACTCCCGGGCCACAGCAGAGAGCTGGCCTGGAAGAGGGGCAACCGGGACAGAATCTGGCGCCCCGACCGGGACTAGAACCCGGTGTGCCGACAACACAAGGCGGAGGACTAGCCTAGTGAGCCGCGGCGCCGGCCGAGTATGAATCTTAAGCAAGCTAGGAAACAGCAAAACACTGTAAAATGCCTGTAACTATCATTTTAAAAAAAGAAAAACGAGGGGCCGGAGTTCAGCTGCTGCTTGCAACCCTGCCTTGATGTCAGCATCCCTTATCAGAGTCGTGGTTCAAGTCCTCACTGCTCTCCTTCCCATCCAGCTCTTCGCTAATATGCTTCGGAAGGCACCAGGACATGGCCCAAGTACTTAGGGTGCTGCTACCCACATAAGAGATCCGGATGGAGTTCAAGGATCCTGAAATTGACTTGGCCCAGAACTGGCTGTTGTGGCCACTTGGAGAATAAATCAGTCTCTCACTCACTTGCTATGCCTTCTCAACTCTTTAAGAAAAATGGTAAGTATCAGTATGGCTAACATTTTTCTTTTTATTAAAAGTAAGTCTGATTAACTTAGGAAATTGCAAGGATCAAACGAGATAATATATCTGGAAAGGCTTTAAAAGAAAGGTGTAATGATAAAGAAAGGTGTAATGATATCTGAAGACTTAAGGAGTTTGTACAGAATCTGTTTCATTCTTGATCATTTAACCACTTTACCTATAAAAGAAGGTTGAAGCTGATTATTTCCAAAGTTCATTCCAGTGCAAAGATTATTATTATATCTCTCAGAAGGTGACGCAAATCATTAATAGTCTACTATCTAAAAATAAAATGCTAGCAACCATTAGAAAGAACAATGGAAGCATAACACAAATTATATTCCAAATGCTATCCATATATGGAATACCACAAGTGTTGAAATCATCAAGCTTTGTTTATATACACTGTGTATATGTCTACATATAACTGTGTACATGTATTTATGTATAAATACACACACATATACACATAATACATATATCAATTATAACACTGGTTCGCAAACCTTGTTGCATATTAGAACTACTGGAAAGCTCAAAAAACACTAATGTTAGGGATCCTAATACCCAAGATTCTGATTTAAATTATTTGGAAAAAGCTAGAGAATGGGCATTTTTAAAGGTTCTCTCAGATTATTCTAATACAACAGCTAACACTGAAAAACACAGAATTAATGACAAATAATAGGATATAAACTTTCCAAAATATAATTAAACATTATGAAAGTATCAAGGATATGCACACAATGAAAACATGAACCTGCTCACAAAATCATACCACAATGGGATTCACCTGCTGCAAATTTAAAGGCTGCAGTTAAGGAGGGCATTGCGAAGCAGCAGGTTAAGTTGTAGCTTGGGATGCCCACATGCTGTATCTGAGTGCCTGGGATTGAGTCCTGCCTCCACTTCCGAATCAGCTTCATTCCAGTGCCCTGAGAGGCAGCAGATTATGGCCCAAGTACTTGGGTACCTGACACGCACATAAAAGACCAGGACGGAGTTTTGGACTCCTGCCTTTGGTCTGGCCCAGATTTGGCTGTTGTGGCCACTTGGGGAGTAAACCTACAGATGGAAGATACCTTCCTTTCTTTCTTTCTCTCTCTCTCTCTCTCTCCCTTTCCTTCTCCCTGTTGCTCTGCTTTTCAAATAAATATTCATAAGCCATCTTATGAAATCTCACTAACTCTTAACACACTTTGCTGATTATACCTCAAAACTGGATTCAGAATTCATTACATTTTGAATATTAAAATATATGTTCACATATCTCATGGCTACCTCTCTAGTTCATCCCCATTCTGAATTAATTAAAACAGTCTCCTAACTACTCTTCTTTTTCAACCCTTGTCTTCCCTCCAAGTCCACTATGAATCCTTTTAAAGGCTCCCTTTCAAAATGATACCAGGGAGGACACTGTGCCACAGCAGGTTAAGCCAACACGTGGGACACTCAGGATCCCATACTGGAGTGCCAATTCTTGTCCTGGTTATTCTGCTTCCTACCAATGCATCTGGGAGGCAGCAGATGATGGCCCAAGCACTTGGGATCCTGCATGGGAGACCCAGATGGAATTACTGGCTTCTGGCTTCAACCTTGCCCTGTCCTAGTTTTCGTGGGCATCTGGGAAGTAAACCATTTGATGGAAAATCTCTCTTCTCTCTTTTCCCTTCTCTATCACTCTGCCTTTCAAGTAAATAAAAATCTTAAAAAGATCAAAATGATATGACTCCTCTGTCAAAATATTCCAATGACTACCTGCCTTGCTGGCTAAAATCCAAAGTCCTCACAATGGACAAGACTCAGTATTTCTCTGACATCATTTCTTCCACTCTCTTCCTCCACTCCAGTAACATTTGACCCCTGCTCTTCCTCAAACTGTGGAAGTAAGCTTCCTTCCTCCAGCCGCTCCCTGTCAAGAATGCTCTTTCCCTTCCTCAAATATCACCTTTTCAGGTCTGAGCTCAAAGGGCACCTATAAGTGAAGCCTTTCTTCCCCATTCCACTCTCTCCAGCATGTCATTCCCCCTTACTCTATCAGAGCATTTACTATCTTCCAACACTTTACCTATTCAGTTATCTTTGTCTATCTGCCCCCCCAATTTAAACCTCACAAGGTTAAAATCTGTTTCTCCCCCACTGTTTTATCCCCAGTGCCTAGAACAAAACCTGGCATGAGGTGTGTACTTGAAAAATATTTGCTGAATGAAAACACAAACTACTAATGCCAAAACCCAAATTCCTGAACACGCCAGTATATGGCCTCCTCACCACATGCCCTGAGCTACTCGATCTTATCGCCCTTATTCACACAACTCTAGCATTTCCAGGTAAGTATCAGACCCTTCTTCACTCCACAAATACACCACCAAAATCTAGGACCGATCGCTTTCAATTTTTTACTTACATACTATTCCCTAAGTCACTCATTTTCAAACATTAAGCCTTCAGTTCTCATGACCTCACAAAGTTCCTGCTGTCCTCCACATTCACTCCTAGCTCTTCTCTCTCATGCTTTTCTAAGAAAATTAACTCTTTCCCATGGCAAATATTCTGATTCTTCCACATGAGGACGTTCTATCATACTAACTAGACTGCATGTTTCTTTTAGGTCATCTAGAACATGTCTCACATCCAGAAAATATTTTCAATCCCTTTCACAAATGTAAAACACGATAATAATCCTAATCTTACTTTTTCTTTCCTATGAATTGCCTATTCTCATCTGGATCTGAGGTGGGGGACAGGGGTAGACAGGCAAGCATTATCAAAAGTACAAAGAGAGTCCATTAATTAGATGGGTATCCAAAAATCACAAGAGTACTTCAGAAAGTGAAAGGGAAATGGGATTTTAAAAAAGCTTATTTTGGTGCAAAAATTTTTTTAAATCCATGCATTTTTTCATAGTGTGCATTTTCTAAAATCCCTTATATATATCGTTTCAAAATTATTTTGCACAAAATAAAATTAATTTCATTCTATTTTCAACAAACTTTTTCAAGTACCATAGTAAATGACAAGGAAGTTTTTGGTACAATGTGGCTGTTTCCTTGCCCCAAGATCTGAAGGAGGAGGAAAGTGGCCAAGGCAGACTACTGTGAGAGCTGGAACTGCCTTTCACAACTCTGACTGGCAACTAGGAAGGAGCAGGATTGACAGGTTCCTGAAGGGACGAGTTAGACTTAATCTTGAAGGCATTTTGTTGACTTTGGTTTTAATGACTTGAGTAGAGATATAAAAATTAAAAAGAGCATCAACTGATCCATATTTCACCACAATTTACTCAACTCTTACTTCCTACTGTTTTCAAGGACATGAAGAGAAACGTTCAAATTTAACAATCCAATGTTAAAGAAATGAATAATTTTTTTCAATTACACTAAGGGGGACAAAGATCACAGATTATCATAAAACCTGTTTCCCCAAAATACATAACACTTACTCTATTCAGATAATATACAACTCATTTTTTAAACTTCTCTGGGTAAGCCTAATTTGAGAACAAATCGAAAGATACTATTTTAAAAAAGTAGTGTTCAGGGGGCCGGCGCCGCGGCTCAATAGGCTAATCCTCCACCTTGCGGCGCCGGCACACCAGGTTCTAGTCCCGGTCGGGGCGCCGGATTCTGTCCTGGTTGCCCCTCTTCCAGGCCAGCTCTCTGCTGTGGCCAGGGAGTGCAGTGGAGGATGGCCCAAGTACTTGGGCCCTGCACCCCATGGGAGACCAGGAGAAGTACCTGGCTCCTGGCTACGGATCAGCGCGGTGCGCCATTGGAGGGTGAACCAACAGCAAAGGAAGACCTTTCTCTCTGTCTCTCTCTCACTGTCCACTCTGCCTGTAAAAAAAAAAAAAAAAAAAAAAAAAGGTAGTGTTCAAGGGATGGCATTTAGCCTAGCAGTTAAAATGCCAGTTAAGATAAACATGTCTCACATCAGAGGGCCTGGGTTCAATTCCTGGCTCCAGCTCTTGGTCTCAGCTTCCTGCTCATGCAGACCCTAGAAGGCAATAGTAAAGACTCAAGTACTGGGTTCCTAACACCCACACAGGAGTTCCTGATTCCAGGTTTCAGCCCTCACCCAGCCCTCAGGCATCTGAGAAATGAGCCAGGTGGTGAGGAATCTCTAGCTCAAATAAATAAGCAAATAAAGTAGTGCACCAATGAGAAACTTACATTAAATGTAACATGTGTGGGCAAAAAACTGAAGACTGACTACAGTTACAGATAAAGTGAAAAGCTTAAATATGAATGGAGTGAGTGAGCAGAAGACAAGGTGGGTTAGAAGACCCCAAACTTCTACAGAGAGGAAGGTTAGCATTGTTCTCTCCTTTGTTTTTGTTCAAATTAGTGTAACTTACATTCCCTACATTGGAAAAGGAACTGAAATCTAAGGATCTACATACAAAAATAATTTCCTACAACTGGGTAACATTAAAAGTCAAACTTTAGGGGTCACCTTTATGGCGTGACAGGTAAAGACACCACCTATGACATCAGCATCCCATATGGGCGCTGATTCTTGTCCCGGTTGCTCCACTTCCAATCCAGCTCCTTGCAAATAGACTGGGAGAAGTAGCAAAAGATGGCCCAAATGTTTGGGCCCCTGCCACCCACATGGGAGACCCAGATGAAGCTCTTGGCTTTGGCCTGGCCCAGCCCTGGGTGCAGCAGGTATCTGAGGAGTGAACCAACGGATGGAAGATCACTTTTTCTGTCTTTCCCCTTCTCTCTGTAACTCTGACTTTCAAATAAATAGATAAATCTTAACTTTGGGGTGGGCGTGCAGCACAATGCAGTTAAGTCACTACTTGGGACACCATTTCCCCTGCTTCAAATTCAACTTCCTGCTAATACACACCTTGTGAGTACTTGGCTCAAGTACTTGGGTGCCTGCCACTCATGCTGAAGACTGGGATTGAGTTCTGGGATACTGGCTTCAGTCTGGTCCAGCCCTGGCTATTGTAGGCACTTGGAGAGTGAACCAGCAGATGGAAGATTTGTCTCTGTGTCTCTCAAAAAAAAAAAAATGAAAAATGTTTGTTTTAAAGAAAGTCACACCTAGTCTTTAATACTTCTTTGAAGCCTGAAATCCACAAGCTCATTTATAGAATACACAGCGAAAAAGGTAAATGCATAAACATTCGAATGTGTTGGGTACCACAGAGACATGGCCATAACCATGAGAAAACTTACAAATACCAACAGACCAGCTTTTAAAGCAACATGCCAGTAGGGATGAAAACACAGCCAAAACATATAAACACATAACCATAGACATATAGACTGACAAGGAATTACAGAAACTATGTGTCATTCCTGACTTCATTCAACCACTCATCTCTCACCTCCCAGAGGCCTCACCTAAAGCGCCGACCTAAAGCAGCATTCTCCACCACTCTATTCTTGTACCCTGATGGATTTCTCCTCTCAGCAGTTCCCACAATAGGCCATTATATTATATGGTTTCATTTGCTGATCAGTTGCCTTCCAACTAAACAGAAACTCCGTGAGGGCAGAAGCTTCCTGAGTTTCGTTCATCTCAGAGCCTCCAGACATATAGCTGGTTCTCAATTAACACGTGTTGAATAAACAAGGGGTGAAACTGAAGCCCAGAGAGGTTAAAAGATTTCCCCAAGGTCACAGAACTGGCAGCAAACACAGCCCTCACTAGAACCCAACCCAATGGAACCCTGTTGGCTCTTTGCACAGCCAGTGCCACTCCAGCGAAGTAGCCTATCCCAGCACACGATGGTGTTGGACAGATTTCTCCCCTCCTTTTTCTTTTTCAGGACCAAAGAAATACATGTTACCAAAAAAAAAAAAAAAAAAGTGACACAATGGACAGCATTCTACCTTCAAGTGTTTCAAAAACCAAGACCATACTCAAATCTCCTAAGGGTACAGGATCATCTTGTAAGAGACAGACACAACCCCTCATGGTCTTCCCAATTCCTCCTGAAACTGGCGGCTGCCTTGCAAGTTTTAAGAACAGCCACTGAAAACCTACTTACAACTCAGCATGCCCTGTAAAGTATCAGCCTCGCTTTCATTCTCCCGAGAGCCCACAATAGCTCCTCCCTGGATAGACTCCTACTTTATCTCGCAGATTATGCAAGGCAATGTTCCTATCAGTGAAGCCCCTTCAGTTCCTTCCAAACTACAACCCAATCTCACAAAATACTAAACATGAAATAAACCCTCGAGAAGTTGCAGCTTTCCAACAAGAACCATCTCTGGACCATCAGCTCGCTGATCATCTCAGTCCCTCATTCAAAATCCAGGAATCTGCAATACGGGGCCGGGGGGCGGGGGGCAGGGGGAGAAGAAACATACACGTGTAGACAAGGCGGCTGATATTTCTAACAACACTTTTGCCCAAAGTCAGCTTCTAGCCCAAAGTCAAGGCCTCACTGACACAACTTCTGTCGCCTTCCTTGCAGAGAGAGGCGCCAACGGCCAGTCCCTTTTGCAGAGACCTCGGATGGGACACACTAGCCCAGACGATGACTTGCTCAGCGTCTCCCAAAACTACTGTCAGCTCCTTCAGGACACTGCACGGGAAGCCCTCAGGTGCGGGGCGGCAAGAGAGTTGAAACGAGACTGGGAGTTAAGAGTGGGAAGCAGCCGACGAGAAGGAGCGGGGAGGGTAAACAACACATCAGGAGCGGGAGAACCGCGGGGAAAGAAGTGGGGACAGCGACAGGCAAAGGTGAAGGGAGCGAGGGGACGAGGCTCCGGGTGGGATGGGCGGGAGCAAAGGGGGAAGGGACGGGAGAGGACTGGGGGAGGGGGCGACGGTCCGGGGCGGGGCGGAAGGGAGCGAAGAGGCGGGATGAAGAGGGCCAGGCCGGGAGGGTCTTTACCTGCAGCTCCGCCCGCTCCACCTCCCACTGGGCTCTCTCCACCTCGAAGCGGGCCCACTCGTGCTGCAGGAAGTGCAGGATCCCCGGGAGGCTGTACTGGGCTCGAGCCGCCCCCGCCGCAGCCGCCCCGTCGCCGGCCGCGGCAGCCTCTGCCAGAGGCCCGAGCCCCTTGGCACCGCCGGCGCCCGGGTGGTTGTTGCCGAAAAAGACGCCGGGACCCGCCTGCTCGTCCATGGCGGCCGCAGAAACCCGGGGAGCTGCCCAGGCGCCCAGCAGCGGAGGCAACGGCGGCGGCCAGCAGTGCCTCCTCCTCCCTCCGCCGCTCCCCGCCCACACCCCAGTCAGCAGGGAGCAGCCGCCTGGGCGCGGGGGCCGGCCGAGCCCGTGACGGGCCGGGAAATGGGTCAACTGCGGCGCGCGGGCGGCCCGGGGCTTGCTGGGAAATGTAGTCCCGGGGCGGGGCGCGGGCGCGCGCGCGGTCCCGGCGGCCTGTGGGGCTTCGCCTCGGCTCGGGCGTGGCGGCGGCCCCGCCCCCGGCCCGCGGAAGCGCGGGTTTCCTCTGGCGCTGGCGACCTGGCGCGGGCCGGCGACGCTCCGTTCGTGCTGGCACGCGGAAGTCGTCCTCGTCTTCGAGCGGCGCTCCCCGCGGCGCGCGCGCGCGCACACACACACACACACACACACGCGGAAGTTGTTATCACGCCAGGAGACAGACCCGGGCCGTACATCTTGAGGGCTTCCTGGCCGTCTTTGAAGAAGCCGGCCGGCCGCGGGTCCGGTGCCCTGGACTCGGACTTGGCGGTTTCGGACCCGCCAGACCTGGGGGGTGCGCGTCGCCGCCGCCCCTGGCTTTTTCACTCGAGGGCTGCAGACCTGTTGCCTGAGTTTTCCCAAGTGACGAGCTCTGATCCCCTTCCCCGCTCCCTGGGCTCTGCGCGCGGCAGCTCTCGGCTGCGTTTTCCACCTCTGAGAAGCTGCTCCGCCGCCGTCAATCCTGTAAAAAGTTGTTGCCAGTGACTTCCTATCTTATCCCCAGTAAGGATAAGTTTTTAACTCAGTTCGATGGAAGAGGGATTTCGATTGTCGGTTCTCTCCCGCACTGGGGATATAAAGATAGATGACACAGTTCCTGTCATCTAAGAGAGACTGGCATATATTTAATCAAGTCTCACCGAGCCTTAAAGCTACACTACCTAAAAGAACAAGTTTTTTGGTTTTTTTCCCTCCCTCTCTCCAGAGCTGTCTTACCCACGCACCTCTTCATGTTCACTTATCCGGTTGTCAGGGTGGGTTTTGTTTTTTTTTTTTTTTACTACGTTTCACCTGCTAACTGGCAACAGGATCATCCTACCAAAGGCACACCCATGTCCTTCCCTTTGGAGTGACATCTGTAAATGTTTTCCTTCTCTGATGTCCCTGATTTTATGTCACTTTAAACTCACATTATAACATGGAAGAAAGGAAGGCGCTTGGAAACAATCCATAACAAGGGAAAAGGAAACGAGACACTTAATATTGTTACCCGAACAAGTTATTTGTAATCCTTCTGTTGTGTGGAATAAACTTACAGGCTATATCAGGCCTCGTGGCCGTGAAAAAAATGTAAAGATGTAGATTGCTGAGTGACATGTTAGGGAAGGACATCCTGTCCTTGTCCTCTCTCCCCTCCCCCCTTCCATGGCCACTCCTAGAAAGGACAGGAAACACATTGTATCTGCTCTGGTTGCAAATAAAGATGGCAAGCTCACTTCTAGCTACTGACCGTTTCCGCTCTCTGAATTCATTCTTTATTATCATAAAGGTTGATGCAGACATGGCTAAATTCCCTGTCATAAATTATTTTGGCTGCAAGTATCCTTTGAGATTATAGTCCAATCATCTCATTTATGGTTCAAAAACTAAAGTCCAAAGAAATTTAAACTTCACAATGAGTCCTTGAGTGAGAGGACGAGCCAAAACTGGCACTCAGATTTCCTGGCAGTTAGTTCAGTGAAATCTTCATGAGCAGGTTGATTTCTTAGTTCTAAACCCACCAGAGTACCAACAAGATAATAATGCCCCAATGACATCTTTTTTCATCTGAGGGATTTATGTAATCTTAGAAGTCTGAATGTTAACAGCAGTATTTTTTCTGATAGAACACTTGTCTGACAATTCCTTTAATTCATTAGCAGACTATAAAACAAATTGATAGATAATATGAACTCAATCACACATATACAAAAGCACCTCTTAAATTCATAGGTCATTTTTTTTTTTTTGACAGGCAGAGTGGACAGTGAAAGAGAGAGAGAGACAGAGAGAAAGGTCTTCCTTTTGCCCTTGGTTCACCCTCCAATGGCCGCCACAGCGGGCGCGCTGTGGCTGGCGCACCGCGCTGATCCGAAGCTGGGAACCAGGTACTTCTCCTGGTCTCCCATGGGGTGCAAGGCCCAAGCACTTGGGCCATCCTCCACTGCACTCCCTGGCCAAGCAGAGAGCTGGCCTGGAAGAGGGGCAACCGGGACAGAATCCAGCGCCCCGACTGGGACTAGAACCCGGTGTGCCGGCGCCACAAGGCAGAGGATTAGTCTAGTGAGCCGCAGCGCCGGCCCATAGGTCATTATTATAACCCGCAATACCTTTTTGCTGTTCAAAGACTTATTTACACTCAAAATAGTGTTGAGGATATGTGCCATGAAGCCATTCTGTACACCAAAATATTAAGATGGGTTATGGTAAGAAAGAAGTATGAAGCAATGCATATACTTTTCACCTTTTCCAAAAGTGTTCATGTGTAATAAAATTTCTTTTGTAATTTAACAAAAAATATTACTTCTAACTTTCCTTTGCCATTCTTTTGCCTTAAATTGCTAAAGAGAATAAGAACCATGAAGCCCATAATTTCCTCCTGTGTTGAATCAGCTTCAGAATTTGTTTTTGAGTTGCAAGCTTACTGATGATTTTTTTCAAGTTGTGCTTGTCTGTTTTCTCCTCTTTCTGTATTCAGCATGAATTACTTTAAACACTTTATATTCAGAAAAGCTCACAAATGGTGAATAACACTTCAGTGAACTTTTACAAAGCCAACACTTCATGTAACCCTCACTTGAATCATGAAACAGAATGTGGCAGGCACCCCAGAAGTCTCCTCTCAATGTACTTTAATCTCTATAGCAAATGTCTTCTGAAAATTAAAAAAAAAAAAAGTTTCTGAAAAAATAATTGGAAGGGACAAGTCAAACCTAAATTTTATTCCACATAGTATAATTTCCCATATATGGAAATCTTGGAAAAATATGATTTCTTAAATCTCAATTGCTACATTTTTTAAAAGGATTTTATTTATTTATTTGAAAGGCAGAGTTACAGAGAGAGAAGAAGATACAGAGAGAGAGAAAAAGGTCTTGCATCTGCTGGTTCATCCCCAAAATGCCACCACGGCTGGAACTTGGCCCATCCGAAGCCAGGAGCCAAAGACTTCTTTGGGGGCAGGGGCACAAGTACTTGAGCCAACCTCCACTGCTTTCCCAGGCCATCAGCAGAGAGCTGGATGGACACAGGAGCAGCCGGGACACGAATCGGTACCCATATCAGATGCCAGTGCTGCAGGCGGAGGCTTAACCTACGAGGCCACAGTGCTGGCCCCAATTCCTTCATATTTAATATGGGAAGAATATTTACCTTATGTAATTATTGTGAGATTATATGCGAGAAGAAAGTAAAACCCCTTAGCGTAGTGCTCAGGATATAATGTATACTAAATAATGATACCTGTTATTACAATAGAGTTCATAAGATTAACAAATAAATACACTACAATATTTTTTTCATTTCTCATCCCCTAATAAGAATTTTTAAATAGTATAGTATAGTATAATTTTAAAAAAAACAAACAAGCAAACAAAAACCCCAAAGCCTAACCATTAAGTCTCAGACCTCAAGTTGTCACTGATTTCCTGGCCTTTTAATTTCATAATTAAGACGACTTACGTGACATAAAATAGGGTTTCCTTTCTAAGAACATAAAGCCACTGTTGAAATATTGATTTATGTATCAGGACAGCAAGTGCTAAGGTGTAAATTGTGAAATGTTCAAAGGTTATTTAGGAAATAGGAGCATTTGTTATTTTGTAATTCATACACGTGTGCTTTGTAGGGTGAGGATTATAGCTCTATAATAAAAAGAATTCAAAAAAAAAGCCAGCACTGAAGCTCATTAGGCTAATCCTCCGCCTCGCGGCTCCAGCACACCGGGTTCTAGTCCCGGTCGGGGCGCCGGATTCTGTCCTTCCAGGCCAGCTCTCTGCTGTGGCCAGGGAGTGCAGTGGAGGATGGCCCAGGTGCTTGGGCCCTGCACCCCATGGGAGACCAGGAGAAGTACCTGGCTCCTGCCATAGGATCAGCGCGGTGCGCAGGCCGCAGCACACCGGCCGCGGCAGCCATTGGAGGGTGAACCAATGGCAAAGGAAGACCTTTCTCTCTGTCTCTCTCTCTCACTGTCCACTCTGCCTGTCAAAAAAATTTTTTTTCATCTGTTCACTCTTTGTATTTTTCCTTAAGAGCAGTGGTTACTTTTCCAAAATGACTGGTTTTTGCATCTCCAACTCTTTAACTGATCGAAGAAAAGGCTTCAAATTGAACTGGATGGCTCTTTCAGAATTCTGGCCAGAAAATGAAGAAAGGACTACTTGTCTGGAGAGAGGCCTGCCCAAGGATGGAGAGAAGATTTTGCAGTAACTGTCCACCTCGCATGCCACCTGCCCGCTCCCTTGGCTTCCTCACCTCTCCTCCATGTCAGCCCTGCTACACCCAGCCAGTGGCTGTGTGTACCTTCCTTCAGCTCCAGCCTACCTTACTGCCTAGGCACATTAACAGGGAGCTGGTTCAGAAATGGAGCAGCTAGGACTCAAACTGGCACCCATAGGGATTCCAGCATTGCAAATGGCAACCTAAACCACTACATCATAACACCAGCCCCTCAAAAAAAATTTTATTAAAGGAGCCAGTGCTGTGGCACAGCAGGTAAAGCACTGCCTTTAGTGCTGGCATCCCATATGGGCACCGGTTCGAATCCCAGCTGTTCCATTTCCAATCCAGCTCTCTGCTATGGAAAACAATAGAAGATGGCCCAAGTCCTTGGGCCCCTGCTCCCACATGGGAGACCTGGAAGAAGCTCCTGACTCCTGGCTTCAGATCAGCACAGCTCTGGCCTTTGCTGCCAACTGGGGAGTGAACCATTGGATGGAAGACAC